TAACGATGATGATTTCCAAACTCCGATAGGAGAAGGAACCTGAAGAAGAAGTTGAGCTTAAAATCACCTTAACCTCGTCGACAGGTGGTGCAGGAGATGGAGAGTAACACCTTACCCAAATAAAACACAAATGATTCTCTTTAGACACCCCAGTCGCAGCAAACTCATCACATCCATCATAACCGAAAGAAGCGACCTTAGACTTTGGGAGAACCGACTACAGCTCTGCGACCAGATAGAGTACCTCGGTGTGGTGTTTACACAAACACTAGACTAAAAGACTGGGTGACGCGTAGCTCTTTCGAAGCGACAGACTCAGTAAAACACGGGGTGAAATAAAAATAAATAAATCTATTAATTCTAACGTATGTACAAAAGTAAAAATAAAATATATTCTATATCCCCGCCTGGATCCCGCAATAGTGAATTCCCGGCGGACGTCTGTAAAAGAAAAATTATTATTACTAACAGAATACGAATTCGACCGCACGCAGACTTATACTCGCTTCCCTCTCAGTCCAGCGGAAGCGCGAATCGCAATAAAAATATCCGATTGTGCAGAATCACGTTATAATCTGAGTCAGAGTTGACGGTAACGTTCAATCTACTATACCCACGGGTTCTGCTTGATTGAGGACAGAGCATAATCCTCCCTGCGGAAGTCTCTCCGTCCGGGTTGGCTCGCAGATTTAATACACTAGCGATCCAGGGAGCCTAGAGCGTTATCCACAAGACCCCTTTAATTCCGCCAGCCGCTCGCTTTTAATAGCCGCTTCGGACCCCACCACGTCGTCTTGTCGTGGAAATGGATGCGTGACTATCGACACTCCCACGGTTCGAACTGTTGAACGCTGTTGCTGTAGGACGTTCAGCACATCGTTACAACCGATCTGAATATAGTCTGTAACAAGGCTAGGAGCAGAGTCGGGATACTTAATGCTCTTTGTGGGAAGTTTGGAAGGACACACGCACGTACGCTTATACACACATACAAAACATTCATTAAGCAGGTCATCGAGTATAGAGCCAACATCTATATGGCGATGCGCGGCCACCTTACAAAAAACTGCTGAGGCTGGAAAAGGGAATCCTGCGTATAGTAAACAAAAACGACGCGATTACGCTTCCGCCCTTATTCATCACCTGTCGAATATTCAGACCATCAATGTTATGAGTTACACAATCAAAACCATCCGTGGGCAAAACTTCAGAGCCCAAAACATACTGAAAACTACCTGCTCATCCCTCGGCAATGTATTCACACGAAAACCCATCCCACCCATCCAAACTCTCCTTGCCACCCACAATATTACTGGTCCTTGCCAGCAACGAACTCCCTGATAAATACATTGACATCCTGTAGGCGACTCTCCTTTAGTACCGTCGCATTAACCAGTAAATGCTCACTTCGAGCTTGTCTAGACAGGGAGGAATCGCTTTTCTGTGGTTTTTCGATCCCATTGCACAATGATATATGTCTATTGCAGAGGATACAGCAACAGCTGCCCTCACGCAATCCGCGATTTTTGTCTCTGATTGTTTAGGACGCTCCTCTGCCGACAAGTCCATGAAACCAACCACCAGTAGAACCCACAAAGCCAGAGAAAGAAAACACCAACCAAACAAAAAACAAACCACGTCCTGAAGAGGTGAAAACCTATAGCAGAACACGAAAACATCAAACAAAGAAATCCAACCTACAGCAAAGAACACTAAGACGACACTTTACAAGTTCAATTTGATAAATCCAGTCCCAAAGTTTAATACTCCATAAATAAAGCCAACTTAGGCGAGATCTTTTAAAATTGAGCTGTTAATAACGTATTCAAAATGAGTGAAATAATACCACAAAATATACCAAGTAAGTAAAAACATTTTGACGATTTTTTTTTTCAATGTACCTAGTTATTTTTAGTTTGGTTTATTAAATTTTAATTTGGTTTATTTTTGGGTATAATGAAAAACTTGGGTTAAGATTTTTACAGAGTCAATATTTCTCGTTTTTATTGCAGTATTGTTAGTAATATGTTTTACCTCAGTGGTTTAGCTTATATACATGAATTTATTTAAACTAAAATAATCGAAGAAGTTGGTAGATTTTGCAATTTTTAATATTAATAATCACTCGGTACTTAGTATTTCGCTTGAAAATAATAAAGTTTGGGTTTATCTTAAGAGAAGTCATTATTTTTAAGTTTCTATTTCTATTCATTTTTGCAGGTGATGAAGATTAGGATGACTCAGATCGTGACAAGAATTTTGTACCACACAGCTCTGATGATGACGACACATCTTCAAATGGTATTGGCGAGATTTCAGACCATTCTTCCGTTTCGGAAGGAACCACGAAACCTAGAAAAAGGAAGATAAATGCAGAAAAATGAAAACGTTTGCAAGCAAAGAAAAAAAGGAATGGTGGTCTGGAGTACGTAAGCCGAAAAGGGAAAGCTCGAGCAGCTAATCAAGTGCGACCTTATCCCCATTCCTGTAGGTATAAATGCAACGAGTTCTCCAAAACTGACAGAGTTAATATTTTTAACTAATTTTGGGAATTATAAAATTGGAATCTTCAAACTTCGTTATTGCATTCGTGCATTAGACTAAGTGCCCCTCGTCGTAGAGTTCAAAGAGCCATAAGTCATAAGAGAGTTAGCACAACTAACATTTAAATGAGAAACGTATATGCAAACATCTTTTTTGCGCACTTTGAATATAAGCAACATACGATTTGCTAACGTTATGAGAAAAAAATTTGACTCTACTACTGACATACCACCTACTGACAGAAGAGGAAAACACATACCTTCCAACAAGTCTGATAGTTCTGTAACAAATTTTGTGAAGAGACATATAGACTCATTCCCAAAATTTAAAAGTCATTATATAAGCCATCACAATCCAAATCGAAAATATCTAGATCCTGCATTAAATGTCAATAAAATGTATGAACTTTACAAAGAATTTTGTAATGAACACAATGAATAACCTGTCTAAATCAGCTACTATCGCCATATTTTTAATAACTGCTTTAATCTTAGTTTCCACAGACCTTATACAGATACATGTACATTATGTGACCAGCTTAATAAAACAATAAAAACCGGAAGACCAGAAGATGCAGCTGCAGCAAAGATTAATAAAGAAGTTCATCTTAAAAAAGCAGATTAAGCTCGACCAGCAAAAAATAAAGCAAAAACTGAGGCTGTAGGATTTACTGATCGAGTAGCTATTTGTTTTGATCCCGAAAAGACTCTGCCGACACCCCTATTGACTAATAGCAAAGTATTTTATCTGAGGCAATTGTGGACCTATAATTTTAATATTCATGACCTTGCTAAAGGTACAGCACAAATGTTCATGTGGCATGAAGGAACAGCGTCAAGAGGGGCTGAGGAGATAATTTCATGTCTTCTGAAGTTCATTTTACTTACCTCCCACTATTAATCGCATTAGCATATTTAGTGATAATGCCTGAGGGCAAAACAAAAACAAGCATATTATTAAATTTTGGAACTATACTGTTCCAAAATTTAATGTTATACTATATACACAAATTGAAACTATAGTTCATAAATTATTAATATCTGGTCATTATTTTATGGAATGTGATCAAAACTTTGGAGTGATTGAAAAACTAAAAAAAAACATCCTTTGTGTTTGTCCCCAGTGATTGGATCGATGTTGTAGCTAAATCTATTAAAAAGTTATTAGTGAACAAAATGGATGTAAATGATTTTAAAAGTATAGCTCCGTTAACCGAGATAATGAACGACAAAGTGAATGCAATGGTTTCATTTTGAAAAGCAGACACCTTGCGCATTGTTTTATAAGGATGGTCTGTCGGAAGATTTTCCCTTTAACACTGTGGATTTGATTAAAACTAAAAGGGTGGGACGACCTGCAGAAATTCCATGGATCATCGAGCTTCCGCCTCTCCGCCAAGATCCCATCAAAATAAAACTCCCAAAATACAAAAATTTGTTGCAAATTTTACCCTTTATACCTCCCATTCAAAATTCACAACATGAAAGAAACTCCCGAGAATTGGAAGTGGATATTCCTTTGGAAAATGAAGAAGACACTCAACTGGACCTGGTCTCAGATTATGACGAATAAATGATTTTAAAGTTTTTTTGTTTGAAGAATAAAATGTTTAAAGTAATTTTTCTTTTATTTTACTTTAAGAAATTCCTAAGGTACTTAAGTGACAAAGAGAAACAAGTGCAAAATTTGAAGCAGAGGGCACAAGTGCAAAAGTTTTTTCAAAATGTCAAATGTTTTGAATGAAAATAAATACCAAGTGCAAAAATGCTTTTATAATTAGATAAAAAAAATGTGTAAAATTAATTCAACATAAGTCGATAAGTAATTAATTCGATGTAAAATTTGTTGTATTGATGAATAGAAAATAAAAGAATATGTTGATATTTTATTGTAATACTAACTCAAATAAACGAGATACATAAATACATAATTAAAAGTGGTTACATTACGATACCATTTTAAAAACCGTTGACACTGACATACATCAATCGTGCTGTCAACCATAGACAGGTTTGTTCCTTAATCACGAGTATTTATTTAACAAAATTTACTATATAAAATTAACTTTTACTTCGTTTTTCTCAGCTTAACCATTTTATCACTTGTACCCCTTAGCGTCTAATCCCCTCACATATAATGCGCGAATATTAACTCTACAATATCTAGTGTTAAAAGCACTATTCCAACAACACTTCGCCAAACTCAAGACTTAAAATGCAATTTTACAATTATTATAAACTACTTAAATTACCTATCAATTTGTCATTTGGTCGATCTGTTTGTTTAAATTAAAAATAATTTTAATATAAATCGTTAAAAGGGAAACCCGTAGTGTGTGGCCTCCTTTAAGAAATTTTCATTTATTTGATTATGCTGATAAAACAATGGCGCGTCATTGGTTTGTCAAGCGTGCGCAACACCCGCTAATATAAATGCTTAAATATTAAACGGTAACCGTCGCTAAAGTTGTCTTTGACCAAAAGTCAATCGTACTTCAAAATTTTGCAGCCAAGTAACATCATCAACTTAGCGCACAAAATGCCGCTATCCAAACAAGAGTCTTTGAATCTGCGCCAAAAACTTATTGGGTAAGACATTTTTGGTTCTTTTTAGCTTTAATTGTTTTACGAGTATAATCGCATTTTTAACATCATTTGATTTTGGGCTATTTCGTACATATAAGAAGGTTTTAATTCATTATATTAAATTTTTATAGTGATTAGCTGTAGCCATGTGTTTAAATTTTTTTCCAAATTGTTGAATTGTTGTATTTTACAAATCTTTATTTTTCTTTTACTAACATCTGCACAGCCTCTTCCCATTGCCTTCTTCTTGGACTACGTCTTGGTTTTCTTTTATTTTTGATATTTTATTGCTCTTTGCTGTTTGTTTAATTAATATTCAATTATCTCTAGGTATCTCAGCTACTAAAGTTTTTATTTTTTCACCCCTTCTCAATTTTTTAAGGTAATTAATAATATAGAGGTATCTATTTATTATATGTTTTGTAAAGAGGTGCGTGCGATTGGGTGAGAATACCCTCTATCATATAAACGAGCCCCCTAATACTGCCTAACAATTATTTAATACTAAAATAATAGATTAGGTTATTAGGTTAGATGTTATAATTAATATTACAAATGAGTATTTTTATATAACTCTTATTGTTTATATATGTATGTATCCTCCTCCAGTATTGTTTCGCTGGAGAACATTTCAATTCTCTTGCATTCGTATAATATAACCAAACCACCTAGCTCTTTGGACTCGAATTTTTGCCGTATAGTTATTGGTTTTCTAGAAATCCTCATTATTTTTTTATTTGTTCGTCTTCTCCAAATATTCTCGGCGGTCTGCATTCATCCGAAGATTTTCCTGGCGAGCCTTCTTTCCCAGATCTCTAGTTTTAATTCTCTCTTCTTCTTCTTTGAGTGCTTCTCTTATCGGAGATTGGATATCATTAGGGCGATTCTAATTTTATTTACTGCTGTTTTGAATAATTCGTTAGTGGTACAGCCAAACTACTCTCTTAAATTTCTCATCCAGGACATTCTTCTACGGCCCGGATTTCTGCGTCCGTGGATGTTTCCTTGCATTATATTTTGTAGGAATGTGTACTTTTGTCCTCTCATCAGGTGGCCTAAGTATTTAAGTTTTCTCTTTTTTATATTCAGTATAACTTCTGGATCGTTATTTATTCTGCGTATTACCTCTTCATTTGTAATTTTATCCACCCAACTTATTTTTAGTATACGGCTTTGGCACCAAATCAAAGCTTTCAAGATTTTTAACATCCCTCAGTTTAAGAGTCCATGCCTCAACTCCGTAAAGCAAAGTACTGAATACATAGCATTTTAACATTCTATTTCGTAGATGAATACTAATATCACGATTACAAAATAATTTTTTCATTTTTATAAATGTAGACCTGACAATCTCAATATGTCTTTTTATCTCGTGATTTTGGTTACCTGTTTCATTGATGAGGGTTCCCAAGTATTTGTATTCGCTTACTTTTTCGAGTTGTGTACCGTTTATTGCGATACTAGTGTCATGTATTAAATTCTTACTAAGGATCATATATTTGGTTTTTTGACGTTCATCATGCCGTAGTTATTACATATCTCATTCATACTTTTAAATAGATGTTGTAGATCTTCCGCTGTTCTTGCCATTATCACACTATTGTCAGCATATCGCATGTTATTGATAACTTCTCCTTTGACTATTATCCCTTCGTTTGCATGTGAGAGAGCTTCTTGGCATGTTTGTTCGCTGTAGATATTAAACAAGAGCGGTGACAATATACAACCCTGTCGTACTCCTCTGTATGTCTCTGGTGTCGATGTTCTTACCCTCCTTATTTCTTTCTGTTGGGGTAAAATCCAGATCACCGTGGGTCTCATTACTGCCTCGTAGACTCGTAGTTTAGCTGTTCTTGGCACTTTTTTTGCTTTCAGTATTGAAGTTAGTGACCTTACTACTCTGTTCCCCATCATTACTCTGTTGTCTATCACCTCTTTCCCTTCTTTTCCCGTAAAAGGAATAAACACTTTTTTATTTCTTTATGAAGTATGTGTCAATGTTGAATACCATTAGATAATTAATTCTTGAGAGTAAAGTAGAGTAATAAACATTATCAGCTCTTTTGAAATTCTGTTGTCCTCCATATTAGACAGTATTCTGATCGTATACTCAAGTTTTTATACTCCTGCAATGTTTAAAAGTTCTTTGTCTTTCGATTTTTTTATAAGTATCATTTTCCATTCCATTATGTGTCATTTTATATTTTTCCATTACGTGTTGACTTCTAATTTTTTTAAACGAGCATTACTCAATTTTTAAAGCGATAATAAAGATATATTAGGTACTAATTACTCCGGAAACAAATATATTAAACTCATTAGGCAGTTTCATTATTAATGCCGATATAAGTAATTTTCCGTAAAAATAATTCGCAATAATTTATGCTACAGATAAAATAACAATTATAGTATGATAATAAATACTATGATATTGATATTACTGATAACATAACAATAATTATACTATGATAACAAATTCCGTTTGTTAGATAGAAGGTATATAATTATGTAATGAAGAAACGTTGGTTTAAGCTCATAGAAAAGGCTTTTTGGTTTAATTTAAGACACAGAGATTTACAGAAAATGAGAAAACACGTTTAATTTACAAAAATCTCTTGATCTGAAGGATGTAGGAGGAGGATCCCCCAGTGTATTCTTTCTTAACTGTAATAAACTTTTTCCAACGATTTTCCATTTGTTGTATCTCATCCCTGAAGCCATTGTCCAGGGCGCCTTAAAAATCTCTCTTCAGTTGCGTTTTTAAATTGATGAAAAATTGATTTCACCTAGAAATATTCTTCTTCTTCTTATGTAGACATGACTATGTCTGTTTTTTAATCTGCCTCAACTAAGTTGTCGTTCCATCGTTTTCGTGGTCTTTCTACTGATCGTTTTCCTATTGGGGAACCATCTCTTGCTGTCTTTACTACTCTATTTGTTGTTATTCGGCTTATATGATCGTTCCATTCTACTTTTCTATTTCTTACCCAGTTCTTGATGTTCTCCACCTTGCATCTACGTCATGTATCTGTACTTCCAACTCTGATCGATAGTGTTTTACTATCAATCTGTCTAAGTGTTTTCATCTTTGCTGTTTCTAACATCATTTTTGTCCTCTCTGTGTCAGGACGTGTTTCTGCTGCCTATGTCATTATTGGCCTGATTACTATTTTGTAAATTCTGCCTTTCGTTTCTTTCCCAATATTTTTATTTCTCCATATTATTTTATTTAGGCAACCTGCGACTCTGATTGCTCTATTCACTTGATCTTCCACTTCGGTTTCGAGCTTTCCGTAGCTAGATAATGTGATGCCTAGATATTTAAACTCCACCACTTATTCTATAATCTGACTTTCCAGCTCCAATTTACATCTTAGTAAATTTTCTCTTATAAACATGCATTTTGTCTTTTTTGGGGTAATTAACATGTTAAATTTTCTGGCGGTTGTATTATATTGGTGTAGCATACGTTGTAAATCATCTTCACTTTGAGAGAGTAGAATTGCGTCGTCTGCGTAATTATTTTTTTCCTATTTGGTAGAAATGTTTGAGGTTTTAAAACAGATCTAACTCAGATTACTTAGAGTTAGTTCTCGTAAATAGATGTTCATATATAATTCGACCAATTTCACCTATAGCACATCGCTGGTACTACCAGGTGCATTTTGATGATGATGGGGTATGTTTTCTTCTGCAGGAGTTTTTTCTCGACTTTTTCGTCCAATTGATCCAAAAAGTTTATCTTATATTGCTCTATTATTTTAAGGCAATTGATTAACAAAATTATTTTGCATTCCAAAAACTGATGCGATAATCTTTATATGCGGTTTTGACACTTTCACTTACTTCGGAGCCTACCTTCGGATTCAGTCTACTCTGTAGTTTGTTGTTACAATTAAGGATCACTCAGGTAAAGCCAAGTCTTTCATAGTTTCAAATTAATAAAAAAATCTAGTTTGATTATTTTTAAAATGCGCCAAATGTTGTTGAAAAATATTACTTTTTTGTCTGATCAACAGCTTTTTTAGACCTAATTCCATAAAACTGTAAATTTTCCAATATGACACGTCTATACAAATGCTTTTAAACAAAAAACTGAAATAGCGCATCGATTTGAAGTATTTGGGGTACTTTTATATGAAGAATGAATACTTTAATAGTTTTTTTATATTTAATATAGATAACTGTATTAAACAAATCCATTTTTTTAACTAGAGTCAAACGTTTTTCTCATGGTGAACCATATAACATATTCTCCTTCACAACGATGAAAAAATTGTCGGTCAAAATTTGGAGAAGAAAAGCAAAAGCATCTTGCTACTTAATCCTTTATTGAAGACGTTTCGTATATGAATCAGTACACATTATCAGTTCATAAAGATATGCAGCTCTAAAAAGATGGAAGTGAATGAAATTTCAGTTTAACATTCCCTATTTTGTTCCTTAACCAAAATTAGATATTTCTTCTTGTTATAAAAATCTAGATTGAAGTTATTTTGCGATGTAATAATGTTGTTTAAAAAAATATTTTTTTGTTTACAGAGAACCATGCCAACTGTTTTTCCGACAAAACCCCTTGAAAATCGTCAGGGCTAAGGGGCAGTACATGTATGACGAGAAAGATGATTCGTATTTGGACTGCATTAACAATGTTGCCCACGGTAAGTATTACCTCAGTAGTTTCATCCCATTTATTTATTTTTCTTATTAAATTTTGGATACATTTATTAGATATTCATCCCTTATTCTTCGCATATCCTTCTTCATGCTTTACGATAGTCTGTGTCTTTTTCTTTAGCTCATTCTTTGAACATGTACTTCAGATGTTCATGCCACAATTTATTTTAAGATATATAAGTTTTCTGAGTCGGTACTATTCTTGATCAAATATTATTTGATTTTCTCGACAAACTCACAATATAGTGAATGGAGGTTTCTCTTAGGTACACCTAGTCTAAGGATTGCTTCTTTATCAGAGACTGTACCAGTTCTTTGGCAGTCAGAGACACTATGTTTTGTCTTAGTCATGGGTCGCATACTAAAACCTCTACTGTTATTAGACCAAAAAATCCAGATCTCCTCATAGAAACCAGAAATTTTATATTAATCCTAGCAACATAGGTCAATTCTACAAAAGATGCAATTTACAATTTCAATATCTGAGCTGCTTATGATGAGCTCCTATACTAAAATTTAATATTTTAGATTAAATTTTAAAGTAGGATCCGCTTATTACTCCGTCTTCTTCGATCTGCGTGAATTTCTCTTTGGTCTTAAGCATGATATTGGCGCAGACTTTGGTTGATTAATATCCTTAGCCAGCTTAGGTTTATTTTCATAAACTGTATAAAACTAGCACGATGAAGCTAGTAATGGACTTTCAATAAAACCTGTTCAGTTCTACCTTCGACACTTTGTTAAGGTGAAAACTTTAATCTAGTCTCTTATCAGCAGACAGCGCGAAGAACAGATTTGTTCAACGCTTTAATCTCAGTTGTTTATTTTTTTATCAAAACGAGCTAATGTCACCTTTACCATATATCGTCTTTAAAAGGTACACCTTTACAATTTTGGTCCGTTATGATGTTAAAAATTGTGTTGGAGCCAGACCATTGCCTTGTTTTAGACCCGGTTGATGAGTCCCCTATTACTTTTTCTATTCGGATATATTTTGAGGAGTGTTAAAAATCTCCAAGATGTTATACGACTGACTTCTCTCATACGTAATATTTAAACAAAAATAAATGTTCATACATCACTATAAATCATGTTTGTTACAGTTGGGCATTGTCATCCAGAAGTGGTCAAAGCTGGAAGTGAGCAGATGGCTTCACTAAGCACAAACAATCGTTACCTTCACGACAACATTCTTCTCTGCGCCCAAAGAATTCTGAGCACGATGCCAGACGAATTGTCAGTATGTTATTTCGTCAATTCTGGCTCAGAAGCTAACGATTTGGCGCTGAGATTGGCACAAATACATACCGGAAATAAGGATGTTATCGCTTTGGAACAGTAAGTTTTTTTAATAAATTGTTCATTTTGAGGGTTTTTAGGCAACTTCCAGGCCACTAGATCGACCTGAGCTGGGACCTTGTATTTAGATTGTTGCTTTTGGTAATGATTTGGCTGCTTTTTTTGATAAAAAATGACTAAAATAATAAAAACTTTTTTAAATTATTATCGATCAGATAAAAAAAGTAATACAAGAGATTAATTATTACTAAAATGTAAACTTTTAACAAAAAATATTCCTGCTTATTATTTTTACCATACGAGTGCGGAGAACAAAGCTGCAGGAAGAGTAATATGGAATACTGGGAATATGGACACTAAAAGATAGATAAGTGGAGTACGTATGAAGTACAGAAAATTCCCATGAAGTACAGTTAGTATCAAATTGTACTTCATGAGTTCAAGCATTCGACAAAATGGACAAATATTCAAACCTAATTCATCCATACATGCCACCCAAAACAAATCAATATTAAGAAAATATGCTATGTGTGAAAAAATAAGAAAAAATGGTCATTTATACCATCAGATCAATAAAACGACAAAAAGTACCTATAGTGATACGTAATCCTAAGAATAAAAAGATAATGAACTCTGGGTAAAGAGAATAAAATAAAATTGCGAAATAATTACGTCAAAAATAAAATATCGCAGGTGACTAGGCAAATAATCTTTTCAAAAAATCTTTTCATAATTCTAGATAAAATATTAAAATTCCCATAATACCAAAATGCTTTCAATTAAAATCTTAAGATATTTAATGCAATTTAAATAAAGACAAAGAATTATGTTTTAGACATTTTTATTCAATTTTAAGAGCATTGTTGTATTAAAATGTTACGTTTATCAGATTTTACACAGATTTTAAAGCACTTAAAAGACAATAAATTACACAAATGCGTAATTCGAGTGGTACGAAGATCAACAGTTTACGATATTTTTTATCATGTGATTAAATGAAAAGAAGTTGGCAAAAATCAACTGTTGCATACACTTTAACTAGAGAATTTGACAATTTCTCTTAGATGAGAAACCAGCTATTGAGCTGAAACAGCCATTGGAGTATTTTAAAATTGTTTTAGCGTGTTAATATCTTGATATTACAGTCAAAAGATACCAGCCCTAAGTTTGCAAAAAAAAGCTCCCTTAACATAAAGTTTTATACTACACTCCCCAGCACAAAATTCCGTCACTAAAAATGTTTGATTAAATTTGACAATTTACAACTTTTTTTATTTGTATTCCGATTTTCAATAATATTGCATCAGTTTGTAGGTACATGTATTAACATCGTTTGTTAAATTCTAGAAATAAACATATACTTTCTTGAACCAATTTCTTATCATTTCCTCTCTAACGAAGGAACGGCTAGTTGTCAGATTTTACGATACACAAGGTCTTACTTCCGGATGCTGAGTTAGGAAATGTTGGTACCACCTATTTCTAGGAATTCCATTCTTAAATGGATTGGCTCTCTTTAGATTTTAATGAGCACTGCTATTGTGTTAATAAGCCGATCGCGTGTCACGGGAAAACCCGCGACAGCCAAAAAAATATCCATTTTACAATTAGTTTTTCCTCATCACTAGTTAAAACTAGTTGTCTGTCAATATTTTGGTGCACGTACATCTTGGATGCTTTATAGGCACACATACCACTTTTCATATCATTTAGGACCCGATGCAGTAGATCTTGTAAATATTTTTTTCTTTGCATTAGCTTAAGCTTTTTAGTTCTGAGTCTTTTTTTGTAGATACCATGTCAGGCTAAATTTGGCTAAGGCCTAAATTAAAGCACATGCAAAATATAGTAAAATCTACCGTCGTAATGTTGTATTTTCTTTGAATACTAAAAAATTCTGTGGAAAAAGTGAGGAGCTGATTTTGTTGAAAAGTTGGAAAGGCTTTACTTGTTTTACGTCTTGAATACCTTGTAATGTATCTAAGGTCTTACAGCGGTGAAACTGCCTCATGTAAGGGATGGCGTTATGAGCTTTTCTCACTGTTGTCCTTGCTTTTATTATGTAGCTCTAATTATGACTTTCCTTCGTATGTGTGCCCATCCAGAAAGCCAATTACTTTGATCATTGACTCTTTGTCCAGGAATTGTGTGTGTCAATCAGCTGCTAATTTGACAAAATAAATTTTGCTTTCCTCACCAATTGGTCATGTGGAGGTTCTAGCCATCGATTTCATACGCTTTGTCATTCACCTGTCTCAGAACCCTTCTCCGTTTTGTATCCCTACATGTAAATATTTCCGATACGTATTTTAGGGATGTTAACTGCTTCTCTTATAATGAAATGTTGGGCTATTTGTATCTTTTTCTTGTTGATTTTTCAGATTTAACGTAATACAGCTTAAACATATGCTATTGCTGGTATGATTATACTATTTTTCATTCTTAGTTTTGTTTTCAACCTTAACTTGCTGTTTCGTCCTACAAGAGATTATAGCGTGCTTCTTAATTCTTTAGTATTGTTGTACATTAATATTTTACCCATTATCACTCTCAAGTATTTTGTTTGGTTGTACTAGTCTATTTCGATGTTAAACATTTTGAACTTCATCAGTTCATCGTATATTTGGTTGACAGACGTTTCTCTTGTCTTCCTTTGGTCTCCATTTAAATAACCTCTTTGTCCATCGTTCGTTCGTCATTCTAGCTATGTGTTCTGTCCATCTCCATTTTAGTCTGGCTATTCTTTCGATGTCGTCAGTCACCTTGTTTCTTCTCCTGATCTCTTCGTTTTTTATTTTGTCTCGTTTTGTCTTAATAAAGACGATTTTCCAAAAGAAAAGTCTCTACCCACTATAACTTAATGAACAATGTTTTCAAAAAGCTGGTATTTATCTCTTTGAGAAACTTTGATATTTTTAATTTATTTAATTTATTCATGGCATTTATTCTTATACGTCATTCGAAAGCATTTTATTGGACCTATTTTTGCTCTAAGCTAAATAACAGTAGTAGATATAAGTAAAATCATAATGTTGTTCAATGGTGTAAATATATCTAAATGAATGTAACTATTATTACAACAATATTTAAATGATATAGCAAATTCGTTTAAAAAGGAGTTTGGAAATCATCTAATAGCCGTATTTTTGTTTTTTTCTTACAGCTGCATAAAATAATCAACGAGGAGAACATAAGAACACTTGCTTTTGGAACATAAATCACCAAAGGGCGCGACAGATTTTTCATAGAGATACATTTTGTATGTGACTGTAAGCTTTTATGTACAAAAGCTTTATAACGGCCTTTTTGTATGAAAATATCCAACATTTAATTGATTTTTTCTTTATTTAAACATAAATTACCTTATAATATAGGCAAAAAAGACATAACAATGTATAAAAGGGCCGTTTTTTGCAATCTATCACATTCACTAATGCAACACTGCTTAAGAAGAGCCGCCCTAGTACAAGAAGAAAACGTATTGTAAATGTTATAATTTTGGGGTTAGGGGTTAGGAACAAGGTGAAAAAAATGGCAGATACGAATATAGTTTTTTTTAGTGCTTACCATGGTCATTTGACTTCGTTGATTGATATTTCTCACTACAAATTTAACCTACCTGGTGGCGTTGGAAAAAAGGAGCACGTTCATGTGGTGAGTTTTTATTTGATTTTATTAATTAACTACTTGTCAATTTGATTAGTTACATTCGGGATTACATAAAATACTGTTGATTATTGATTATTAATCTGTATCCATTCTGAACCATTTCAGAAGAACTTATTCACTCCGAAAAAATTCGGTCAAAAATATGCATATATAAAAAGTCACTTGGTGCCAAGTCAGCCGTAAATGATGTCACGATCAGTGACACTTTAAGTGATCTAAGAGTGACTTTCACGTGTAAGAGTTCGTATGAATGTTATGGCAATGTGTTGTTTAATTCTCCTCAGTTACATAAGTATCTATGCAATATTAATTGCACGTATTCTTCTAATAAAAACGAATTGATCGCAAACATACTATCGTTGTGTTAATCCAAGTCTAAAATTATAAAAGATTCTCAGACGAAATTTTGGAAGTAAATTATAGCCTTATATTGGCAAGATCAACAAATAATTGTAGTTATTTGATGCGATATCGTATGATAAGGTGTTATGTACAAAGTATCTTACTGTACGGAATAAAAGCTTGGATTTTAACAATCAGCTATTTATGAGGTTTAGAGAGCATTGAAATGTGTATCTTAAGTCGCATAAAAATTACATTGTCAACGTTAAAAATGAAGAAGTTTTAAGGCATATATTTTAAGACGACATATATGACGTCCTGGAGCTGATAATACAAACGACAATTGAACTGGCTGTCACATTAAAGAATAAATAGGATTTGAATTTCAAATGGTAATAATAAAAGCGCAAAATAAGAAGGAATTTCTAGTAATCATCAACAACCTCCAGTAAGAAGGTTGGCTACTGGAACCTATAGGAACAGAATAGAGCTGACCCCTATGTACTTTATCCTAAATTATTAAATACTGTAGAAGTGTTTATATCTCAGAAATATTTAATCAATTAATTATTGTTTACGTCGATATATAGAAAACTCTAATAAGACCAGTCTTTGGATATGGCTCAGAGACTTCAACACTTACTGAAAAAGATAAAACTCGACTAGAAACTTTTGAAAGAAAAGAAACAATGTATGGAGCCTTAAATGACAATGAATTCTGGAGAAGACATTTTAATTTTGAGCTATAGCACCTATACAGAGAACTATATATCATAAAAACGATTTCTGGACGATGTATCGATAGATGTACAGGTACTGGGAATAAGGACGTGAAGTAACTTGCCCTGAAGAGGAACGCTGAATCTTTTAAGAAAAGATAAGATTCATCAATGTCTGCAGTGCTATGTAGAAAACATAATATGGACCGAATATAAATAACATGACAAGCGACGGAACCATAAATGGTCAATGTAAAAAAAAAGAATATTTGAATAAAACATGTCACAAATATTAAAGATGCTACCAGCCAAATAGTAAAACTAAACTGGAAAATTTCCAATAACCCTATTAGGCATATAAATGGGGTTGACCTATGAAGCAAAAAAGGAAAAAGGAAAAGTGTTACCCATGCCAAAGATTTACCCATCAGTTCGTTTTTTCTTGCATAGAAAGATGGTTTATGCCCATTTCTGATTAGCTTAGTTTATAGAGCATTGTGCCATCTAAGGGAATTAGATATAAGGGCTTTGTTTAAAGGGCGAAAATTGCGCGATGTAAAGTAAAAAATCTCAGCCTGCGTTTGAAAATAGGTTCTTAAATTAGCAACTTGTTTATTCAGTTCTCTCCTATATCCATAAGTCCTCTTCCCTCTAGATACTGAGGTAACACCTTTCTCTCTACTGCACTGCGTGGATGATGTTTTGGTGTCTTCGTGATAAGTGTTCTTACTTTCCGCTGAAGACTATCTATATCCGTTTTGACCACTTTATAATATCAAATGAGTAGCTCAGAGCGGAACAGCTGTACGTATTTAATACCCTAAATGAATTTTTACTATTAGGATATGACCGATTTAGCTGTCTTACTCTTCGTAGTAACTCGGAAGATACTTCGGTTTTCACTTTTACCCATTTTTACTCATTGCCTTTCCTCTGACTATATTTGGAACACGGCACTTGTCTACTCCAAAGTGCATACTGATATCATTTGAGAATATTTCCACAGTTTTTAGCATCTGATCCAGGTGGTTTAGAGTGGAAGCAATTAATTTCAAATCATCCATACACACCAGATGATTCAGCTTCGCCACAACAGTATTGTTATTTTCGATTCTAAAACTTTAGACAGTGGAGTTTAATAGTTGAGATAGTGGGTTCGTCGCTGGATAGAACCAAACCTCCTTGAAAGGGCCCCGGTGAATTGGGATATCTTCAGTTTGGTTGTTGTTTTTACCAGTTATTTGAAGGAAAATTTTAGTTTTCCACTCCGACAATGTATGCTTTAAAATAGTCACTATATTATCATCAACTTTATATATTTTCAATATATCAATAAACCATTCATGCAGTACTGAATCAAAAGTCTTCTTGTACTCAAGGCAGTAAAAGGTTCCTTTTTGGCGGAGGCCTGGTTAGAAATGACTGAGTCGATTATAAGTTGTTCTTTGTTTTCCATAGTACCTTTAGCGTATTCTTTCTGTTAAAGCTATCTGATATTGTTTAGAGAACAATGTTGGTAGGACTCACAGGATGAGATCAATTTGTAGAAAGTTGGAAGACAAGTAATTGGGCGGTGCTAGATCATGGTGTTATTTTTATCCTTCAGTATTAGGTAAGTGGTTATGCATTTCATTGCAGTCTTGATCGATAACTACCACTTGGTTATGAATCTCCCGTTCGACGTCGCTTCTGATGATATCGCGTCTAGTCTCTGGGATAAGAATGTTTTTAATAATTACCAGATATTGACCCGCTATTCGCTGTTCAGTTACTTGAATATCTTGGTAGTCCCTACAACATCCGTCATACAGTTGTTGTCGATAGCCGATTCTTTCTTGACCGAGGTTTGTCAATAGAAGCGCAAGATGTTTTCGTTTGTAGACACAGTCCATTTTATGCGCTGTTTCGGTGGTCCCGAAATGAAGGAGCGCCAGCTGATGTTCCAGGGCAGCACCTTCAGCAAGTAGAGCTTTCGTTGTTGTTTGGCTCACTTGGGGTTTTGCTTGTTGTTGGGCTGTAGTTAATTGTATGTCAGGGGTCCGCCTCTAAAATCTAAACATAAATTATTCCTCTCCATTTTCATTAGTGTATTTTATACCTTCTACCAGGTTTGAGATTTTGTTCCGCAGTAAGTTTACGTGCTACCCTCTGGGTATCAGTGTTACCAATACCCAGAGAACATCCTCCATTCACAGGGGGCTGCGCCTAATAGAAAAACTAATAAAAATCTCCCACAGAAGAGATTTAGATTATTATTATCAAGAATCGAGAACTTCAACCGATCGCCCCCCCCCCCCTTCTTAACAATGTGGGATCCACCGCTGCCAAACATTGAATTTTCCTGTTTTTGTTCCGTAATTTTTCGTATGAATATCAGATTTATTGATTATTGGAACTATTGATGGTATTATCATACGATTTTCTTTAATCTTTGTTTAATTCCAAAAAAAAATACGTAAACAATTAATCTTCTGATACAATTTTTGAAAATAAATGATAGTAAAACTAATAAGTAACAGACAAGGTCAGAAATTTCCACACGTTTTTAATGCACGTGTTATCACAATAAAAGTAAAGTTCCCACTGTTACAAAATAGTTCAAGGAAATTTTAGGCGTAATATCATACTCTATTTTATATCATTTGTTTTTTTTATTTCATTGTCATCTTAAATTATTGTTCGATAAACTCTAGCTGCTTTAAAAATTTAATTTTCTAACATTGCACAATATTTGTATAAAATAATTAGTCGGCGGTAAAAAATAATGAGGCCAGCAAAGTCAACACACTGATCGAAGCACGAGAAAATCTCCTGATACAAATATTTTATAACGAGCGACATTTTAAAAGTGTTAAAGGTTCAAAGTTCGATAGATATGTTATTGAAATAATAATACATTGTACTTGATATAAATAAAAAATTAGATCAAATATTGTATATGGAATTGTGTTAAATAACCATGCAATCTTACATCAAAAAGTCGGTTTATGTTGTTTCCGTCAAGTGAGGGCTTGCTAAAAAAAAAAGATGAGATTGATTAGTAGATATCGATTTTTAGCTTCTGAAGCGGCTTCTTGTTTACTTTATTTACTCTTTTATGCAGATTTATATTTCTTCTTCTGCGAGAATTCTTCTATCTTCACTCTCTTCTTAGATGATAAAAATTCATGTTTGTTGGTACACATTTTTGTTTTACCTAACATGCATGCCTTTCTTGATGTTAATCTAATCTATCTATCTAATTAGCCTTCCTCGGCCCATCTTTGGACATAGGCTTCCCCAATCCTTTTCCATTCTTCTACTTCGTTTCTTCTACTACTTCCTCTTCTTCTACTTCCTCTACTTCGTTTATATTCCCACGGTCTCCAACTTATAAGAATTTTGTTCCATCGGTCTTCTTTTTGTCTTATATTAGAATAGAATAGAAGTATGCTTTATTGTCACTGAAAATTATTGAACAATTTTATGGACAAAGCTAAAAAATAAATCAGTCAAATAATACAAAAAGTATAAAACAAAAAACAATATAGTAAAAAACAGAATAACACAATTTTAAATTAGTAAAATTATTGTATAACCTACATAATTTGTACAGACAACAACAAATGAGACAAATTGTAGCCACTGCTTGAGACACCCAAATGTAATTATAAACAATACTAATTTTGTTTCTTTGTTATACATTAAGAAACTCGTCAACTGAGTAATATGGTCTTTCTGAGAGATAGATTTTTGTTACCTTACGAAACTTAATGAAGGATGTTGCGGATTTAATTTCTCTTGGAAGGTGATTATAAAGTTTCTTTGCACGATATAGAATAGAATTCTTTACTAGCTGAGTGGACGGGATCGGTAAATAAACGTTACAATCCGAATTTCTAATGGAGTAGCCATGGTCAGGTCTATCGGGAAAAATGTTTAGAT